TGTGTGTGTGTGTGTGTGTGTGTGTGTGTGTGTGTGTTGTGACGAGTATTCTCGCCTGTCACATGGGAGACCGGTGTTCGATTCTCTGACAGGGAGCATGCTACACCTTTTAGCCGTAAACCAAAGACAGCCGCAAAACTCAAGTTGTAGGAATACTTATGTTGGGTAAATTGAAATGCATAAAACCAGAGAAAGCAGCACAATCCAAAAAATAACAAACAAAGAAGCAGGAATGGTCGTAAGAACGCCTATGTTGTGAAGGCAACAAGAGTTGTTACTTACATGTGGAATACTGTAAGAAAAAGTAATCTTCGAGGTACCACCGATATTTGAACTCCAAATACTGGATTCAGAGTGCAGACTATTACACCATGGGACCTCATCTTCCCTTACTGTCAGTGCTTCTTCACTGTAGCCCATAGACATGGCAAACTTTGACTCAGATGGCATAAGTTTCCTGCTGGATCTTAGTGAAATTTTTAGACGTCTTCAGTTTGTGTAGGATACAGCTCACACATAGAAGAAAATGGTAACTTGAGGGGAACAGAGCAAGAAAAAGCAATATAATCAAACCAAACAGGCAAAGACAAACCACCCTTTGCTCTCATAGGAACGGCTGGTCCCTTCACACAGGAAACTAGTACGTTTTAAGAGGAAGGTCCCACCGAGACTTGAACTCGGATTACTGGATCCGAAGCCCAGAGTATTTTTTTTTTTATTAATCCACTCAGAGTCACATGCCGCATAGTAGTTGCCAAAGCAACACAACAGCAGTGATTAGGGTGGGTCACAGGCTAACCCACGAGCCATGCCCCCTCCATCAAGCAGGGTGCTAGCATGGACATCATTACATAGGCGTGGCTAATAAAAAGAAAAAAGGAAAGAAAGGCATTTAATAAAAACCATAAATAATCAGATAATAGAATAAGTATAAAAAATAAAAAAAACTTGAAAAAAAACACTAAATTATTTAGGGGGGCTTAAAAATATTTTAGGGAGGCTTCAGACACCCTAAAATAGGCCTAATGACGCCACTGCCACCCACAATGAAAAAACCCTCAAAAAACATCCCAAACCAAACCCACAAAAGAAACAAAAGGCACCCCCAAAACATAATGATGTAAAAATTCGTGGGCAATAAAAGCAAGAGGAGATGGCCCGACCACCCGGCCAACTGCTGCTCCACATCACCCGTCAGGTGGTTCCACATCCTCTCCATCACAACATCCGTGCTCCTCCCGAGCAATATGTCCAGGAGGGGCACATCCCCATCAGCCTCAGTCAGACCCAGCGCAGCGGACAGAGACCCAGCCATGCCGATATGCAGGTAGACCGATTTATGCAGGTTAACCCTAGCCCCAGTAATGTCACAGTAAAGCTGGACACTGTGCAGCGCATTCCCCACACTGGCCACATCAGGCACCAGGAGGGACGTGTCATCAGCATGCTGAAATACAGGGGGAGCAGAACATGTCGGGCCCTAGCAATGTCACATGTGGAGGTCAGCAGGAGGCCGAGGGGCACGACCACCAGGGAGTACAAGGCGGCCGATAGGGGTCAGCCCTGACGCACTGACCGTGTCATGCGGAAGGAGTCCGTCACAAAGCCAGTGTTGGTGTCAGCAGACATGGCGGACTCGCAAAAAGGTGGATCCAGGCAAGGAAGCCCGGGCTGAAACCAAATACCTCCAGCACACGCAGGAGGTATGAATGTTCGACCCTGTCAAAAGCCTTGGTGAAGTCCAGCTTCACCAAATAACCGGGTGTTGCCTCCGTCTCCATGAACCCCACTGCCCCCCGCACGTCCCAGATGGTATCCAGGATACTGCGCCCCCTCACTCTACACTTGGGTGGTACAGATGAGGGACGGCACCACTCGACTGAGGCGGGAGGCTAAGACTGATGCCAACACCTTATGATCAGTGTTGAGCATGGTAAGAGG